GCACCTTGGGGAAAAGTCCTTTTAGCAACACATTTCTTGCTCTTCCGGTCATATGAGTGACGGGAAATGAGGATCTGCTCTCTTCTCCTCCGAGTTTCTTCCTTGCCTTCCTCCCAGGAGAAGCAGCAAGCTGCACTGATGAAATAGCGGAGCCCGGAGGCACGGGGAGATAGTCCTAGCAGTGCATTTTTCTAATCCCTTTGGATAGTCAGCGCGTGATGTACCAGGGTTCATACCGTTCATTTTCTTTAATTATTCTGCAGTACCAGAAGCTCAGACTCTCAACTAGCCTACGCTGCTTTACCTCCAATAAAATAAGTGTATTTTACACTAAATGAAATTAGCTAATGGTTAGTTAAACAGAAGATTTTCCTCAAATTTTCATGTCAGTCTTCATTTCTTTATCAATTTTCCATTACCTGTAGTTAAGCCCTCTGCTTGCTCCTCTCTTGGTTGCAATTCTCAAATTATACACTTTTTATTTAATGAAGTTTTGCTTCTATTTCAGGGATCCTTTAAAGGGTCTGCTTTTCTCCATACCCAACAGTTTCTGGAAATCAGACCTCCATTTATGATACCACAAATTGGCATCCTGGAATTGTTGCTCTACTTCGAAAAAAGCCATCTCTCAAACTGTCTCTTTTTCAATCTCCCCTCTTAAATCAATCCCTTTTCTTCTACTCCTCTGTGTTGCTCTCCTCTGAATTTCTTAAAATCTGTTTCTGACATTCTGGGAAATAGACCCTGACACAAGATGCGTCTTGTAAGATCTCGAGCTGCCATCTCAACAGCGCTTCTTCCAAAGTGAGATTAGTCCTGGACAGCAGGTAGCAGAATGTGCAAAAGAAAAAATTGCCAAAACCCCCTTTGGCTGGCAGTTACGGAATAACTTAACAGGCGGTTCCCTAGAAGTAGCCATCAGTAGGGTATTTTTGTCTGTTTCTAATATGAATCATTCCAACACTGGATGATTTTCTTATCCATGTGAGTTTCTGATACTTTTCAGGCTCTCTTAAACTGCTCCTAGAATGACATCATCAGGCGGTGAATTCCAGAGTTGTTCAAGCCCGATGTCAAAATAGACATCCCGGCTCTTGGTTTTGGAGGTTTGTGAGGTCAGCAGGGGACATGCTGGTGATGATCAAATCAAACCACTTGCTTTGCAGAGGGGAATTCAGTTGACTGCGCAAGTGTGTTATAAACAGGTTGTTCTTCATAATTAGTGGGTGTGTCTTCTCGCTGGTATTTTGCAATGAGGGTAAAAGGGAGCAACCATTTTTTCCTTTTTTGAGTCCTAGTCATTATCCCATAGACTTCTGCTATATATATTCCTTTTCCCTTCCTCCATGAATGAAAGAGTGCTCTAATTATTGCCATATGCCCCCTCATGTTGACTTTGCCAACATCCATTCGTTTCTACACGAACCTTCACGCAATAGGATGTTGGCTCAGTGCAAGTCAGTTTTGAAAGAGAGTGGTGAGGCTAAGACATCCCCAGCACTGCCATCGAACATGTACTAAGGAGAGGAATTTGAGTAGGAAACAAGCTCTTCTATGTCAAACAGTTATCTGGGAGCTGTCCCCAGGACGTTAACGTCTTCGTTAGTACCTAGGTGTGCTGCAATGCTGGAGCATGCCCTCTTCTCAGCGTCCGGAGAGCAGTAATTTTGCAGCACAGTGACTGGGTCGCGGTGATTCCTTCTTTCTCAAAAGGACAGATTACGAAACTCAATGCAGTCTGAGGCAACGCTTAAGCAGCCAGCGTAGGAAGGGTGTCTCCTGCTGCCCAGCATCACAGCCTTCAGCCTGGAGGAGGGCCTGGAGCAGGCAAGCCAGAGACACCAAGTGAGAAGTAAGATTGAGGAAGACTGCAAAAAACGCAAGGAAGCTGAGTCACCTCTAGAGTAATATCTCACTGCTACCCATTCAGGAAAACTAAAATGAACCTCAAAATGGAACCATGAGTTGGCTATATGACAAGAGAGCAGCCATTAATTTTGGAAAAATGATGCTTTTGTCACTTTCTATGGCTTCCAGAGCTTTTTAGACCCAGTGAAGACCTTGTTTTGATCTCTTGCATCCATCTTGTCTCTTGCTTTGTCATTGATTCACTGGGTATTAATCGGATCTGGGCAAATAAGCAGAGAGAAAGGGAAGAAATTTCATGTTGTGAGGGAAAAGACAGCCAAATTATTTGAGGAGAGCAGAAGGCAGCATAGGTCCTTCAGAATCAGTGGTGATAGAGCCCTGAGTGAGGGAAAAGAAGGGCCAAAGTTAAACTAACTCCTCCAGGTGCCTAATTTAGGCAGGGCAAGGCCCCCTTGGCTGATTCAGATCCTGGCGCAGTGACTCAGAGCACCGAAAACTGAGCTCTTAGATAATCCACACAGAGAGAGCCAGCTACCTCCCAGGAGCAATCCCAACTACTTGAGTGAGACACTCATCTTCTTCCTAAGAGCCCTCCAGGCACCCCAGATGTCTCTGCAGGGCAGCTCGCCACTCTCATCTAAGGAGTATGCATGCAACCATGGGAGCCAACAAATAAGAAAGTATGCATGCAACCATGGGAGCCAACAAATCCCCTCCCTGGGCGGAGGGATGTGGAATTAGGCAGCAGCATCTGCATGGGAGATGCCACATCAGGATTTCTCAGGGAGGCTGGCAGAGAGGAGTCTCCTCTTACACAACACCCGTTGCCAAGGGAGGGTTCACTAAGGGAACTCTCATGGGTTTAGGACCTCCTGTGCCTCAGGGCAATTGCTGCTCCCACCTCCAGATAAGGACCCTTTTATGTAACTTGAGATATGGGTCAGCCTTTGGCCCACATGCATGGGTTGTGTTGCTGGGCAGTAGGGAATGCAAAACCTATGGGATGAGGGAGAAACCAGGCAAGAGGGAGGCAGGCTGGGGCCCACGGATGGAGCTGCTCCCTTAAGGATGGGACTCCTGGCTTCCCAGCGCTGTTCATAACTTCTCCATGCAACAGCCATAAGCAGACCATGAAACCCTCCACGGCAGAAGCAGGCTCTACCGCGTGCCTTCACCCCCTTTGCCCACACATTTTTATACCTTCCTTCAAGTGCCAGGTTCCCTCCCAACCCAAAATGGAGGCATCTGCCAAGTTCAGATAGCACAAGACATGACTTTATTTTAAACCTGGATGCCAAGAGCAGGTCCGTGTTCACAAGCTCAGCAGGACAAGACCTGCGGCAGTACTAGCCCCAGCTTGGCCTTTGCCTGTGCCAACCAGCATTGTCCCTAAGAAATCCTAAACCTGTGGATAGCAAAGGCTGAAGACTACTTCAAAAAGTTCAGTTGTTACCATCTTACCATCTGGGTGTGGGGCAGAGTATGGCTATCCAAGGCCACAGAACAGTTCTTGGCTCATTCGAGGTGTTCAAATGTGTGCGCCACTTGAATATCTCTAAATCTGGCAGGAGGGGAAGAAAGGTGAAGAGAGTAGCTGTGGGATAGCAGTGCGATAGGAACCGTGAGGACAACGGAGAGTCTCATGGCTGAAGACGGAGTATCCTTGGCCAACCTTGCATTTGCACCAAGGAGAAAAAAATGAGCTGAGGCTCTAGCAAGAAAATAGAGGCTGGAGGTAAAGCCCAGACTAAGACTGGATGAAGAAGCCAACAAGGAAGGCTGGGAGAGAAAACAGCCAGGGAGTGCATGGGTGGGGGTCGGATGTGGATGGGAGGATGGGTGGACAAGAAGGGATGGGAGCAGGCTGGGGTGAGCTGGAGCCATGAGACCACATTTCCTTTACAAACCTGTTACAAAGATCCGGCTGTTTCTGAGTGGTGGTGTTCCTCTGCTCTTGGCAAATACCCAGCAGAGTGAGCAAAGCGTGTAGCTGCTCTCCCTGTGCAATGAGTCTACGGAGAGAAAACCAGCTGGGTGAGCTGCACCCAACTAATTACCCTGGGAGATCTTCGCTGGAGTAATCCTAGTGGAGAGCTTCTTCAGCTCAGGAGAAAGCATTTCAGCCTCCTGTGACTCACTTCAGAAGGGTTTAAGTGAGCAAATCTCTCATTCCTAGCTAAGATTATCCACAAGGAAGGTCAGTGGAGGGGAATGAGTTCCTTCAGTTTTAACCCCAATAGGGAACTTGACTAGCAAACATAAAAGATTTATTTTCAAAGTTAATATTTTGTTATAGATGAAGCTGAAATTTCCAGATTCCAGCAGACACACGGTAGAAACCGTCTGTCTTTTCTGATGATTTTCCTTTAAACACCATGCAAGATACTTTCCTCCCCTTTCAAAATAATCTGTAATGCTTATAAAGCAATTTCCACTGGAAGATCTTAAATCAGTTTAAATAAAACTTAATGCTCAAGATCGCTTGGTGTTGAGTCCTGCCTTGTCCCCTCTGTTTGCCGGCTGGAGAGCTCAACTGCCATTTCCTTTCAGCCAGCTGACCCAGAAGAGAAATTGAAAGCAGGTTAAATAGAATACAGTTTACTCTGAAATGGAGTCATAAAATGACACTTCTGCCAATGCAGGGGGAAAAAAAAAAAAAAAGAAAATCTGGGGAGAGGCTTCCTGAAGTGAATGCAAAGCAATTGCAATATATTTCAGCATTATTTCAATTCGACTTGCAGACTAACGCCTCCGCTTTTGTTGCTGCTAACATGGATGCATCCAGCCTCTACGCCCGATGTACCATACCACACAGTCACACAATGGAATAAAATGACACTTTATTGTGCCCAGCTTCTGTTTAACAACTATAATATTAAAGGCTTCCTCAGAGCAAAATGATACAGGGCAGAAAATGGTATAAAGGGAAAAATGGCACAAGAGAATGGCAGGGACAAAATGAAGGGGAAAAAAATGCAGGGAGTTACAAAGGCCAATAGTAAGAGACACGGTGACTATATGGTGCCCTTCTGCATGTGCAGGGCTCCACATCATGCCTTTCTCTTCCAAACACCATTTTGAGGTAGGGCTGTGCTCTTATGCATTGTCATCAGAGCACGGTAAGAGCAAAAATATTTGCTGATGGGATGTGACCTTCCAGGTAGGAGAAACCGGGCAGCATTCACAGTGTACAGATGAGAGTTTGATCCCTTGCAATGCAAGGCCAAGCAGCTCTTTTCCACCCCCCAGCCCCTTTAAAAACCCAGCCGGAGGATGCAAGCGAGACTGGCCAAGGCGCCCAGAGCTATCATACTGTAGCTGGTTTTCACACTGCTGGCACCACTGATGTTGCACAAGGAAGTCTCGCAGCAGCTGGTAGCAACACTGGCTATGCCGATATTCAGGTCAATTGTTGGGCAAAATGCAGAACATTTCTTGTTAATACGCTGGTTACGGTCATTGCCTGAAGTGGGAGAGTGAGAAAACAGGAAGAAAAGTCAGGGTTTTTATCTTGTATATTTTTTACAGATTCCAGTGATAGACTGGCTGTGCAATAGCCAGTGGGGAATACGTTGTTCTGCACTTAATGCTGTTGGTTTTGCCTTGGGCTTCGTCACACTGCATCATTATTTGTGCGTATGTGACCTGTGGAGACCATCTCCAGTTTTTTAAAGATTCTAGTGATGGATGGGCTGTGCAATAGCCAGTGGGGAATACGTTGTTCTGCACTTAATGCTGTTGGTTTTGCCTTGGGCTTCGTCACACTGCATCATTATTTGTGCGTATGTGACCTGTGGAGACCATCTCCAGGCCTTATGACTCCTCTGCTGTTTTCAGGGCCAGCTGAGTGCAACCTAGGGCAAGAATTTGGAGATCTAATGCATTTGTACAGTGCAAGATTGCAAGACATAGTCACCAACGTGCCTTGGGATTGCTCCTCCCACAATACTTGGCCCTTTCCAATTCCACCACCTCATGAGCATATATTTGAGCTTGGAGATGAGACAAGGGGTTTGTGCAGAGAAATCCTCTCTCTTCCAATGTCTCCCATTCCTGAGTGTGTTTAATCAGCAGTGCAGTATTGTTACGATATATTGCAACAGAGATGGGCTATGCTGAGTTCCCACCTGCTGCAAGATTTGCTCTCTGTGTGCTATGATCCTCACTAATTCTTCCACCACACCTCATGGTGGGAGGAGGCTCTGCAGTCAGCCTAACCTGAACCCCATCTTGTCATCGGAACCTTGGAAAAGCTTCGCACTTACCGAGTCCCGTGACAGAATAGGTTGTGAGACAGTACTTCTCATGGTCAGAGCACGCGGTTGTACCAAGACAATGTATATTGGAAGATGCATCTTTGCATGTGAAACATGTCAAGGAGAAAGCTGCAAAAGAAGCACACAACACCCATCAGTCACCTCTAGAAATATCCGTAGGAACACAAAACTGGTGGTGCTGGTCCAGATGAAGGATCTGCCAAGCCCAGCGGCCGCAGGCAGACAACCTCTTGGGTGCATGAAACTTGGCCCCAGCGACTCTCCTGGACCCAAATTACTTTAAACTCAGACTCCCGACACTGACGTGGTTTGCTCATTTAGTAACCCTCAAGGGATCTTCCTTCTGGATACTTACTTAAGTCTTCCCTGAATCCATTTAAACATCTGGTATCCCCAGTGTGCTTTTGGAAAGAGCACGCCAGTCTAATACCACTTGCAGCATGAAGCTCTTGTGGTTTCTTTCCAGCCTGGCTCCTCTAAGCCCCGTTTGCTGGACACTAGTTCTTGCGTGGAAAGAGACCAGTGGATTCCTGTCCACACTCTTTCACATCCTCTTCAAGTCATCTGAAGAGTCCTGGCCTACACATCCTCTCTCAGAGCACACAGACCAACAGTGAATTATTTAAAAAAAATTTTTGAATACAAAAAGTGAGACACACACCTAAGAGTAACCCCCCTGGCCATACTGGGCATGAATATTTTGCTGCATGACCCCCCAGCGTATCTTAAATGAGGGACGAGTGACCTAGATCTGCTTCTCAGTGTTTGCTGGGAAGATGGATGCTTGCATTTGGCTGGTTCATTTTCAGAGCACTCCTGTGTCGGGAGGCAATCTTGGACCTGTAGAAGACAGGGCTCGGCAAATCACCCCCTTGGCTGCAGCAGACTCCTTTTTACAGCCATCCGTGGGTGATGACTGCCTAACACTACAAAATGTGTACATCTGTAACACTGTGAATCTGCAAACGCTGTGCTAATACGAATGAATGAAAACAGCTTGCACTCAAGTAAGCTAAAGCAGTCATTCATAGCAAAGAGATCCTCAGGGAAGGTTTCTTTGCATGATAAGGGGAATTTCCTACTCATCTGTTTATCTGGAGCAAACACTCCTGCAGTAATGTCACCCACCGGGGATTAGGCTCATTCGTCTCATTTCCAGGCTATCCCTATCTACGGCCAGTTAATACCCATCTTATTTTTCTACCAGCACTGTCCTTTGCTTTCCTTGCTCTTCATCTCCCTCGCTCTTCTTCTCCCGTGCCTGAGCTTCTTTGCCCTTGTTGGTGCCTTTGCCAGCAGTGTCCTGACCTCATTGCTGCCCTTGTTTGACCTCAGACAAGCTCATCTGGCCCAAACAGGCTCTCTGCTCCCTATCGTGCTACTAGCCCAGAGCTGGCCCCAGCTCCGACCGTGACCCAGGTGACCAGGCTGTGCACTGTATTTCATAGGAAGCCACAAAAATGCCTTTTAGGGCACTATTCATCCTTCTCTGACTGTGGAAACTGTCTTCTCTCCCCACTCCAGCTAACAGCCCCTTTGCCCTTTCCGTGGCCACCCAGAACTGACCATCAGCTTCCTCTTGCGGTCTGTAGTCCTCGCAGATCCTACTCTCCCTCTGTTGTCTCTCACTGAAGAGCAGCTAGCAGAGGACACAGAGGCCAGGCAACTGGGCTTGCAGTGACTCAGATCCCATCTCCCTCTGTTCCATGCTCAACACCCTTACGATTTCAAAAGCCTCAGACCTGGCACCCGGCTCACTCTGACTTGATACCAAGACTGTTGCAATTTGCTTCCTACCTTGGTCATGGTCGTTTCCATCTCCAGACTCTCTGGGCTGTCCTGCCTGGCTCTTGCATTCAGTACTCTCCTGACGCTGCAGGCTACATGGTTTTTTTTCAAGTCTGGGACCCTCCTTTAGACTATCTGCACTCAAAGCAGCGTGGCTTCATTCTCTTTTCTCGTGCAAAGCCCACACAGGCACGTTTCTGCTCCGCCCCACTGGGAACCACCCTTTCCTCCCAGAATAACTCTACACTAGAGCAGAGTCCCCAAACTGGGTTTTCCAGACATGTAACCCATTTTATTCCTTAATTAACACAACTGGGTTTTCCAGACATGTAACTCATTTTATTCCTTGATTAATGCAGCTTCTTTAATCAAGCCCATTCCAAGAAAAACTTCCTGAATCTATACAGGAAACAGTGGAGCTTGTTACACGCCCAAGTCCTGTTTCATCCCAACCTCCCAAAGCTGCTAATTTAAGAGTACAGTTGTCCTGGGACTCTTCTAGCCAGGGGAGGGGGCAAGGACCTGCAGAGGTGAGTTTGCCAATACATCTCTGTGCTCAGGAGGTTTCTCTCTCACTCACATTTACTACAGAGGACTCTGGAGGCATGTGGGCTCCTAACCTGGTAGCTCAGTTAAGACCCTGAAGTCAGGTAGGACAGTTTTGATCCTCTGTCCCGGTAAGAACGACAATTGCTCATGCTACTGAAAAACACTTCTGATTTTATTGCGTCTTTTGAGACAGCCGTTGTAATGAGGACTAAGCGGGGAAGGGAACAATATTCCTTTAGAAACGTGCTCCACTCAGGATGCAAACCTGGGGTTAAACCAGGCTGCCTCTGGAGGTCTCCTGTCTGTGCCTAGCGAGACCTCTGCTCTAACTGAAAAAGAATATTCCTCAAGGAAGATTTTCATGTGAATAATTCGAGCCACCCAGATAAACAACTTACACATGTAAAGGCATTAGCAAGTGCAACTGCCGGCGGATGCAGGATTTACACGGTTAAAATCAGTTGGGCTCAGGATTAATTGGAACAGCAACCAGCCTTCTGGCTAGATTGAACAGTGAAGTGGTGCTGCGTATGTGTTAATTTTCACCAACTCCTTTGGTAAGTTTGCTGTCTCATTACGTGACCTTTTTAAAAAATGTGATTACAGTTGATAAGCAGCAGGAAAGAATCTTTTTATTGCCCTCAACTTTCTCAACCCAGTTGAGCACAATGATTTAGCACATGCCAAATTTAAACCCTGTGAAGTCCCACAGTAAGAACATATACAGCCTCAAATTAAGTGTGAGCCTAAGTGCTCTGCTAGACTGGGACCAGAATGGCAAGTAATTTGCAGGTAAAGCCCTACAACAGAGCCTGAGAAAAATTCAGTTTGCAATAAGGCAAAAGCCCCCCAAACTGAGGAAATCAGCTATTCCCCTGGAATAGTCAGAGGGATATTCAAGGCTGCACCCTCTGTTCCTTGCCTGACCCACAGCCCGCCCCTGTGCAAACGGGGCATCTTCCAGAGGCACAGGCAGCGGTCCTTGGCAGAGCCCAGCCAGGCAGAGTTAAAGTGCATGTTCCCAGTGCATCTTTCCCAAAAGAAACAGCCACCAGTTATCAGAATGAGAATGGGACTCTGCGTCTCCATCCCAGACCTGGGATCAACGTCGGCAAAGTTGCACCTCAAAGCAACAAGCTGCAAGAAAGAGACGGGAGCCAGAATTGCATCTTCTTGTGGCATGCCCATCACTACCAATTTAGGTAATGATGGTTTGTAATTGCAACCAATAAACAAGCAAGTGAAAAAAATAATAATCAGGCTGTAGTTAGTTATATGTCAAATTCGCAGCTTTATTGTACATATTGCCCTTTGCCTGTCCAGCTCTGTATATCCCTCAACTAATCCCCCTTCTCACGGAGCCGCACCAAGGGTTCTCAGCTGCCTACAGTGAGCCACTCCAAGAGCTGGGCTGGGCCTGCGCGAGTCAGGTGAGATGGGTATCTCATCCCCCACTTCAGCTCCTCAGCATCCTTCCAGCTTCTGGTGGGGACACGTCCCCTGGCTTCTTATCCTGAGGACTGGAATATTCTCTAGAGCCTAACGACCCTTCAGCTTTACCATTCGTGCTGCAAAATCCTCTTGTCATCCTGCAATATCAAAGGCATGCCCCGACTCTGGGGGGTCTCGCTAGTGCAAAGCAATCCTTGGAGACTCACCACTCTCCGTGCACAGGGCTACGATGAGCGCGACGAGAAGAGAAGTCTTCATCCTTTATAGGTCTCGCAGCCTCCAAAACAAGGAGGACTCACCCAGGGCAGGTTTTATACCTCTGCAGTGTTTGCTTTGATGCTAGGATAATAACAGTAGGGTTGCTGTGTCAGATGGTGGATAATTGAGAGTAACGTGTCAGTGCTTGTGTGTGGAAGTATGCTTTGGTGGAAATCTAAACAGGCATATATTATCCCCCCCCGCTTCTTCTTTTCCTCGTTGTTTCACAATGCAGTTGGTTCATCTGATGTTAAGTATGCAACAGTTTCTAATTCTGGATAAGTGGAGGCAAAGCAAAACACAAAAACAAAACAGTGTCCACGTGAGAAGAGGAATGTTTTCCTTTCCAGGTCAGCATCGGTCTCGGATCAGGCTGCATCCTTGAAGATCCTGTCCTCGCACACTGTTTTAGTACATATGGAAATTGATTGAATTTGAAATTGAAATTGGGATTGAAACTTCTACAAAATGTCTCCCAGGATTGTCAATACAGCTAGATCAGAAGAGCAGTCTCCTTCCACTGCATTTCATAGGGGACCAGACATCATTTTCTGTGGGCCTTTTTGAGACAGCAGTTCAAAATCGTAAATGTTTCTGTTCTAAAATTGGATATTTTGTATGAGGGAAAATGTTCTCTTACTAGAAAATAAATTCCACTGGGCAATGAAAATGACCACTTAAATTAAAAAATAAAATAACACCCACCCCCGTCACATTGAACAAGCTGTGATTTTTTTCACAAATTACAAAAAATAAATGTCAGGAGAAAAAAACAAACCAGTAAAAGCATGGAGAATGAGGGATTGTCTGATCAAGGATCTCAACTCATTAAATCTTCAGAAAAAAAAATTATAGCCAGCCAAAATTATGCTCTTTACTCCTCCTTTTTTAACATGTTTCATCCTATCTCCCTGTATAAAATCGGAATCTTTCCCATCTTATTCTGATTGCAGTTGCTTTTTCCTCCCACCGTTGTCTTTCCGCCATCTAGTCGTGGGGACGGAGGCACAGTCCCAGAAACGGTCCAGCTGGATCCCTTTCACGTGACACTCGGAGCTTCAGGAGCGACCTGCGTGCCCCAGGCCTCTGCCAGCAACTCTGCCCCTTGCTGCTCTCCATCTGTTTTGTTTCCCTTTTTTCTTAGTCTCCAAGTTGCTCAGATTTCCATCTCCCATTGAATATTTCGGCTTCCAATATCACCCACCTACAGTCATTATCTCATCGAAAAGGCATGCCCAGTTCTTGAGGTGATGTAACTCTTTCCAACACCTCTAAATTGGACGTATAAATATTGTTAGTATGGAAACCTGCGTGACTAAGGTGAGGAAACTTCTGCTTTCTCAATAGGTAGAGCATGAAACTCAGTTGGAACAGAGGTGGCAATTAACCAAGAAAGCTCAAAGGAGGGGTGTTGTTTGGCTTCATAAGGCCAATACCTTTGTAAGGCACCAGGCAGGAGGAAAACAGAAGTTGGCACCCTCCATGCCAGGCACTGCAACCCTCTCTTCCTTGTGAAACATTTTATTTTCCCCAATCCAGAAGGGATTTCATGAACCTTTATCGGTAAATCAACTTCTATTGCTGACTGTTTGAGGTAATAGCAGAAAAGGGGGCTCTGCCATTCTGCAGCCTGTACGTTGCCTGCAGAGGCAGCCCACATTCAGATTTATTTCAGCCAACAGCATCCATTTACAGGTACAGAAATAGCAGCTCAGCCAGGCACTTCCCCCCCCCCCCCCCCCCCCCCCCCCCCCCTGTAGTCTCATCCAAGCAAAAACTAAAATATCTCGTCTCCTGCAAGCTGCTGAGATTTTGAGATGGCAAGGCTGTATTTCTTAAAGGAGTTATTGCAGGATTTCTGACAGTCGAGATTTTCCATTAGATGGTCCTGCACTCTCCCAGCTGGTCCCGTATGTCCCCCTGATACGAATGTTACCTTCACCCCTCGCCAGTGCCAGATGAGACAGATTGAAAAGAACCCATGGGGGTAGAAAGGACACAGATGATTAGAACACCAGAGGGAACAAGGCAAAGGAGAAGATAATATCACGGTTTACAAGTACTTGGAAGCTCTGAACTTCAAGAAGATTTTGGAAAGAGTAACAGGGGTTTTAATGGGGGGTGGAGGATGGGGTGGAAAGACTTATTTCCCTTGACAGTTGCTGAGTGGAGAAGGAAGGAGAGTGTTTTGCTCATCTTGTTCTAAACCTGGTTGAAATTGTCATGTGAGAAGGGCAAACAATGTCTTTATTTTGGTGAAAACATGTCGTTTTCATGAAACAAAAGCTGAAATTTAAAAGTAACTGTGAAATTCAGATGTTTTTACTGAATGTGGATTTTCAAGTTGGCCAAAAGCTTTGAGAATCATTTCAGAAATTATTGTGATTAACATATAGGAAAAGTGATGGGAAAAGTGGTTAAAAAGAAGTGCAAAACCCAAGTTTCTGTTGGTCCCTTAGCACAGAAATGCTACAACGCTACCGTTCTTCAGTTAGCCCATCTCGTAATTAAATAAATGCCAGAACACCCTCCTTGCCCAGAAATTAAATCTTTATAGGATGACTAAACCTAATCCCATCTTCACAGCCTTCGGCCAGCCCTGCAGTTTCTCCCCGTTGCGCAGAAACACATGCACTTTGCAGCCTGTCTTGAGCGCTGGTGGAGCAGGACTCCCCTCAAATCCAGCTGGGCTGCAAACATCAGGGCTTTTTTCCAGGCGCCACTTCTATACAAGCCCTCCCGAAATGCAGCACTGCACTTATAAACTGCTCAGCTGGGAATTACGCACCCTCCAGCTCCAAGAGTGCATGTATTTTGCCCATCTTACCTATAGCTCCGCACCTCCAAGAGCTGCAGGGGATCTCAACCCCATCTCCTCCATCCCCAAGCCTGGAAATGCAGCAGCGACAGAGGAAAGGGAAGGAGCAGAGACCTCCCCCACCAGATCAGACACCCGTTGCCTCTGCCAGGCTCTTTCTGCCTGTTTCCCCTGTCGCTGCAGGGAAGTCATGAGCAATCACTCAGACAGCAGCACCTTCTCCAAGCAGGCACACAGGGTCCCCTTTCCACGAGGACAGGTTCCAGCAGCACCGTCCTCATCTTGGACATCTCCAGCATCTTGGTGTGGGCTCTTTACCTATTTTAAAAGCTGAAACCATCCACCCTGCAGAGATCACACGAGAACTTTGCAGCACAGCCAGAAGCACAACCAATACCTGGCCAACCCCCAGTCCTGTGTGTTAGCAGGTACAAAATAATTCTCGCTGTTGCTTGCAATGGGAACACCACAAACATCTTTGACCTTTCCAGATTGTCACCTTCATTCGTTAGCACTGAGTGATCAGGCAGAACATCTGGCTTTATGGAGTGTCTGTCTTGAGCTGCTGGATGCAACAGAGTCAGCTGAGAAAGGCAGCCAGGAGAAGACTCCCAGGTGCTAAAAAGAGGAATTCAATGTGAATTAGAGATTCAGATTACAGACCCTTCTGGCAGAGCTCTTTTCTCAGGCTGATCTTAGTGTGGATATAACAAACACGCTCTAGAATAACACAAATCTTTATTTTGTTTGACGATTGTCACACACATGCTATCAAAAGAGCTTTTGCGGGGAAAATTAGTACAAAACAACAATGATACGGGGGGGGGGAAGGAAATAGGAGCTACACTGCTGTGCCGTTTTGTGGATGGGATCTGAAGCAATGTCTTGGAAAAAACAGGGTAGCATAGACCCCGTTGGAGACACTTGACAGAGGATGTTGGTTTCTCAGTTGGGGAATACCTGGTAGGTTCTTGGGTTGTCACATCTTCTCCCACCCCTCATCACAATCCTGCCCTGATGACAGAGATCAAACTGGCCACAACTCCCAGGAACATCACGGCATAGCTGATTTTTATGCTGTTGGCACCACTGAAATTGCACAGGGAGGTACTACAGCATTTGGTGGAATAAGCCGCCATACCGAAGTTCAAGTTTGTCTCAGGACAGTCTACAGAACATTTCTTGGTGATGCGGTGTCCTATGTCCTTGCCTGGATGGAGAAGAGACAAGAAAGGAGAGCTGTGATTTAAGATTCTTGTGCAAGAGCTGACCAGAGGACGATAGGAGGAGGTATATTGCACTATGCTTAATTTGCGATGCAGCAGTAACAGCTATCGGCAGATTTGATGAGTGCTGGGTGAGTATCCACACAACCTGGATCAAATGCGTGACACTAGAAAGTCCTTGGTAGAAATCCACACCGTGCTTCCCATAGGACAGCAAAAAATCACTGCCAATGCATTGTAGATTTCTGAAACCACATTACTTACATCCAACCCCTTTCCAACCTCCATCACAAAGCACGTCTGTGAGCTCTCAGCTCAAGCGACAGGGTCTGCTCACGAAAATCTGTGTGCTTCAACCAGCCCTGCCACAAGGCGGTGAGGAGCATACCGCAGGCGGTGGATCACAGAGTGCCGCTGAGGGATTCACACACGTTACGTGTTGTGATCCGTAAACCTCAGTGATCGATTCTTTCCAACAAGACCAACTAGTGCCCTAAAAAAACTATTGCCCATCAGTTTCCCTGGAGGGGGAGAAAAAAAAAAAGCCTTGAGGTGTGGGAGATACTCACCAAACCCAGCAGAGCTGTATGTGGTTGTACAGTATTTCTCATGGTCTTCACACTTGTAGGTTTTAAGACAGTTCCAGTTGGAGTGCTCGTTGTCACACGTGTAGCAAAACAGCGAGGAAGCTGGAAAGAGCGCAAATGACATATATTAGTGGTTTCCAGCAGTGCTCTCCTGGGAAGAAAGCGTCAAAAGCCATGTCCCTTCTTGGAAAATACAAGGTGAAAAGTACATTACGAGCAAGTCTTCACGACAAGTGGCATTAGAGGTTGGTTTTGATTCATGAAGCTGAAAAAGCAAACAAACAGAACAAAACGAGTTTTCTTTCTTTACTTGAGATTTTCGGTGACTAAACTTGAAAACACATTTTTTCAGCCTGAGCAGCACTCTCGGGTGACCTTTCTTTCTCCCCCTGGTCCGCATTGGCCTGGTTGACAGCCAACCTGCAAAAGCAGAGCTCGCGACCTGCCCAGCTGGGTCTAGTATAGCTCTGGCAAGGAGAGGATGAACTGGCACTGTTCTCAGGTGAGAGCTTAGTTTTTAGTATTTTCAGACTGCGTCTGCAAAACATTGTACGGACATGAGTTAATTAAAGCCTATAACACCCTGTGAGCTAAATTACTGAGCACAGAGCCACATTAAAGGGAGTTCCCTGGGAGAGGTTGCCCTGGACAATAGAAAGATTATTTCTACCAGCGCCTGGAACAACATGTTCTCAGTGATATTATTAGCAGGGCTGAGCCAGGTCTATTACAAAGCCAGAAGGAGGTAGGATATGTATTTCTGAACAAAGCTGAAGTAAATTGAGTCAAATCTCCAGGCTGGCCAGCTGGCCATGCTAGAAACACAGGCATGTGCCATCTCGTTCCTGGAAGTGGATTCACAACTGGTGGAAACTGTTTCCCTCCTCTTCAGAGTCCCATGACATGCTCCTCATTTCTGAGCAGGGGTGACAGAGGCAGTTAAGCTGCTCTGGGGACAGCCTGCTCCATTGTCACCAGCGGCGGAGAGCTCTTGGTTGAAGGTGATCAAATTGCAAACCAGGGAGGGTCCTCCGTTAGGCTGAAATTTCCCTGGTTCAGTTCCTCCTGGCTTTCTCAACCCAGGAATGCTCTTATTTCAGCACAGACAAGCCCCTTTCAATTGATTTTGAACCTGTTTTCAACAAGGAAAACTCCTCCCAGGGACATTCCAAAGCCCAGCTGCTGTTGATTCAAATCAATCTCTGAAGTTGAACCTGCCCGTGAAACTTGGTTAGACAATTCCAGAAGCAGTTTTAAAAGAGAATTAAAAGCCATTTTAGGCCCGAACTACCCCAGGTAGGAGAATTGATACGGGGAGCTCAGGTGCCTTGGGTAGAGCTCTGGAGCCAGCTCTGGGTGCCTCAGCATATGACTGTCCTGCTCTGAAACCTACCCAGATGCTCTTTTCTAGTGCCAGGTGTTGCGAGCGCAGGTGTTCTCCGTAACAGCAGATAAAATCATCCTTGTTGCATCCTGGTTTTAACTTCTCTTTAACTGACTATTCAGCACTCGCTGTTTCTCCATCACTTGGATAAGTTAAGCCTCTCACCTCTCCTCTGGAGGTCCCCCAACCCAAGCTGTGGGCTACTGTCCTTCTGCAGACCATGCCAGAGCAATCCCAGACATGCTGCCTAGCAAGCGCTACTGCATTTTACAGTCCCTGCAGCTCTCTCTGATCTGCTTTTCTGCCAAATCTCACAAGGTTGTTCAAGCCACTTCCTGCTGCAGATGGAGCCGAGACCCCAACGTGTGCGTGAAAGCAACTGAAATGCACTCGTGTTCACTGACTGATGCAAGGAAAATCCCTCCCAGTCAGGAAACAATAACAGCTTAAACCATTATAGCTGTTATAAAGCCTTGCCTGCGTCTGGCCTCCACCCTCCATTAGCTCTAGTTTTGCGAATGCAGCCAGAAATAGCCTTAACGGTGGAAAAAAGCTTGCAGTACTCCTCGGGATTGCAAATACATGCACAGAGCCAATGTTTCTCAACTGGATATTTCTACACAATTATCTAGTTATATCTGCACCTCCTTTGGAAAGAGGACGAGCACAGAGCAGCGTGCATCCCATTACAAACACACTCGCTCCCAGACACTTAAAAAAGCTCTTCAAACCTATGAGCAAAGAGCTCTTAGACTTTCAAATATCTGCCAGCAACCTAGTTTCTTAATTGTAATGTCATTGTGGGAAATAAAGTGAAATGCTGGCAGAAGATGCGGTGTCAATACCAGCCATATTACCTTTATCAAGAGCTCCTCCAGTTTCATTCAGGAACAAAAATAAAACCAAAGGCAAAACTGTGAGCCCAGCTTAATTCCTATTAGTATTTTTGGGTTCACATGTCTGTCTTCAGATGTGAGTGGTCGGAGCTTGATACTTGAGGGTTTGAGAAACCAGAGCGGTGAGCTCATCTTCTTTGGGTTATGGGTACCTCGGCAGAACTCACTCAGAATCTAAGACTCAACCACACTAAATATTGCTTGACAACAGCTGATGCCAAAGAAAAACTGCACTACCAAGACCTCACCAATTGCAATAAAAGCTGTCAAACCTTCTTGTCCCTGTGTTATCTCTAATTTCTCTTCTGGTATTTTCATCCTCTCCGTCTGGCTTTCCCAGCCTCCGAAGCTCCTTACCTTGCTTGGCACACAGGACTGCCGCCAGCAGGGCAATCAGAAAAGCCTTCATGGTTGTTGTGCCCTCAGAGCCTGAACAATGTAGGATGGTGCACGACGCTAAGGTTTTATACTGGGACCGCGTTTACTTTGACTTCCTCTGATTGCAGTAATTTGAGGTTTGGGGAGTGACAGCACATAAGATGTGATCAGTGATGGGTGTGTTTGTGCGTAGGAACCTATTACGAGGCTCCCGGTAGCAATTTTTTTTAACGTCTCATTCAGATCCAATCTTTTTTTCCAAGGCCTACTCCTGCTGACCATGTCTGCGTTGCTAATTTGGGAAACAATTTATCTGATTCAAACATGGGAGTCCCTTCTTACTCCGTTGGGCTGAACCACGAAACCTGGAGCAAAGCAGAGGCAGCTGCGCCAGTCTGGGGTGGCTCATCGCTTGCAAGATGGTAGGCGTCACCTGGCATCCTCCATCCTTTCTCTCTGCCCTGATATGAGAGCTTCGTATCTGTGGGAAGTGGGGGAGGAGGCAAAAAAGAAGGTTTTCGCTGGATTGTCTGCAGCCATTCAGAATTATCTCACTGGTACTAAGGAAAGTGCTTTAAGCAGAAAACCAGCTTGTATCATTCCTGCAATGACACTATTTGTGCCTGGGGACTGTCACTCAGAGGCTCCCATGGTCCAGGCAGGGATGGGGTCCGATGCTTTTGTTTTGCTCTGCTTCTCTGTCCTCCGGAAGCATCCAGGGTTTCCAAGCGATGATGTTTGTTGCTACCTGTAGACCAAGTCTGGGCTCTGTCAGGTTTTTCCAGTCCCTCATGACCTTTCCAGTCCTTCTGGGCTCCCTCCTTCTGCTCCCACAACCACTTCATCACCTCTTGCCAAATGAGGCAGGATGCGGCAGAGGCACAAAGTGCATGGAAACAGCTGCAGGAGTTAAACTACGAATAGGAGCGAAAATGACTGAGAAATAAAACAAGTCCTGGTCAAGAAGACATCTCAGCAGACCAGGACCCTTCATCTTTAGAGAGAGAAATAGAATCATAGAATCATAGAATCACTGAGGTTGGAAAAGACCTCTAAGATCATCGAGTCCAACCGTCAACCCAACACCACCATGTCCACTAAACCATGTCCCTAAGCGTCTCATCTACACGTCTTTTAAATACCTCCAGGGATGGGGACTCCACCACTTCCCTGGGCAGCCTGTTCCAATGTTTCACCACTCTTTCAGTAAAGAAATTTTTCCTTACATCCAATCTAAACCTCCCCTGCCGCAACTTGAGGCCATTTCCTCTCGTCCTATCACTTGTTACTTCGGAGAAAAGACCAACACCCACCTCGAAGACCAACACCCACCTCCAGGACCCTTCATCTTTAGAGAGAGAAATGACCAAGGGGAGCTCAGAGTCAAGGTTTGTAAGGTCACAAATGATGTGGAAACAGAATAAAGAACATCCAGTTGTTCTTTCTTTTCCCCAAATTCCTCCCCAAGGAGTTGGTTCATAGGCTCTTCCTCTGATCATGTGTCTGCAGGATCCTGGGCAGATGACCCCTTGCCCAACCCCTGTGACGGGCCTTTTGCTTCCAGTCATTCTTCCTTTGCCCAGTTCTTCCTTTCTACAGCAGCTTCAGCCCCCAACAATTTCTGTCTCTGCCTGTGCCCGGTGCAGGGTGGAGGGGATGAGCATCCAGTTTTCGAAATCTTCCACTCTGTTCTCTGGATTTGCCCTGACCTTGAGCATGAATCTTTAATCATCTCCTTTTTTAGCAAGGATGTGAGATACCCACATGACAGCTAATGTAGCAACTATACTTAGGAAATAATCTATGAAAAAGCCATACTCTCTGAACAAGACTTTGTATAAATACATGCGTGAACGACATCAGGCAGGAAACATGATCTGCTAGAGCATGGGGGGAAATAGTAAGTATTAGTCTACATGTTTGATTTCCATATAATAGCCAGGCTTCTCTCAGCCAGCTGGAGAAATGGAAACCAAAACTTCCTTCCCTTCCATCTACATCAAAAATCCAGAAGTGAAACAGAATTATTGCACTGAATTTAGCTCATCTTGGAGCCAACCAAGCAGAAAAATGCAGCTTCTCAGCAGGAAGAAGGAAGCAATGCATGAACACAGCCCACAACAAGAAAGAAGAAAAGCTTTGAAATTAAAACAAATAAATGAACAGTAAATAAATGACACTGTTAAAGCAAAGCGCAGCTGAATAGAAAATCTGCAAGTGAGAAATGGGCTGTAGGAAGTGGAAATGTGAGAAAGCATTTAAATAGATTAGAGAGAGGGAAGGTTAATAATAATAAACAAGATTAATATTTTACCCAGAACTGGAAAGAGAGAGGAGGGAGTTGAGAAATATCGGTACAAAGCAAAATAAATCAAAGCAAACTCACAAAGCTTGGGGGGAAATAATTAAAGACAGGCAAAATGAGGGTAAGAAGTAAGATGGGATGGGAGGGAAGTATCGATGCTTCACTGTTTCTCCTATGGTGGCATTACTTAGCGCTGTGCAAAATGTACATGTTGTTATGGGCAGACACTGTTCAGGTATTAACCACAGCCCTTCAGGGTCTGAGGAGCATTTTCTATAGCTCCACAAATCCCAGTTTAATCAGCCACTGGAGTCAGACTGCAGAGTCTCCTGTGGGGCCCGGATGGCGAAGGCATCTGGGGCATCACCTGGCCCCTGGCACTGTGTCCCTGAAGGATAAGACTGCAAAGGCTTTGGGTCCCGGACAGGGGTCTGGCCAGGTCCCAAAACCACGCTATTCTTGTGCGCTGTTGATATTGCAGTCACGCCCAGGGCCACTGCAAGGGCTCTGGGCTCCAACCAGCACCACAGTGGTGGGGCGGGGGGACGGGTGTCCTTTGAAGCGGAGAGCAGCCAACTTTTTCAAGCAAGGGGAGAAGAGAGCTGGAAGAAAAGCCGGGGCAAAGACAACTGGGGTAGTGGGAAGTGCAGATGGTGTCAGGAGACTTCAGGGGACACAGCGCGGAGGTGTTAAAACTACTTTCCCAGGGACATAAAAAAAAAAGAGCGGAGGGCAGCAGGGTGATTCTTGCTGCAGAAACTGGGCTAGGTGGGTGTTAACCCAATGGTGCCACGGAGGATATTAAACAGTTAACAGAGCCTGGGAATTTTAAGGAAGAAACCTTAACCCATTTCGAACTTGGCAGCCGACAGCATGTGTTTGTGCCAGACCTTGGAAGCGCATTGTGCAACGCCTGTCCCTTTTGTGTAACTGGAGCCAGACAAAGCGTGTTTTCAACCCGTGATGGAGCGGCAAGGTGGAGCAAAATGCCAGGTCTGGGGATGTTTTAATGTCAACTCTCCCCACTTTCTCCCTTTTTCTTTCTGGAGGGTGGCTCCGATCGCAGCTCTCCTCCATGGTGCAGGGAGGAAACTCTCCGTTTCAGCTCAGGGTTGCAAATTGCAGCCTCAGTGGGGAAAGGAGACGCCATGGGAGAAGGTGGGAAGAAGGCAGCCGTGGGTAGTGCTCCCGGTGTGTCTGAGTCACGCAGATGGTGCATGCAGGGCAAGTAGTCCAGCCCAGCCCCGGACAGCATCAGCCTGATCTGGTCGTGTCCTCTCCTCCCTCCTTGGCAGGTCAGGGAAGACTGGGTTGCTTCAGCTGGCCATGCAATGGCAACAGGGTTAGGTGAAGGACAGGAAGGGGGGAGATCATGGGATCCAGGAACCCCAGGGAAAAAGGAAGACCTGCGTGTGATATTTTGCCTTTTCCCTCTAAGGCCTGACTGTTGCAGGCAGCCTGCTCTATTCTTCCCTTTCCCAAAGCACATCTGGGACTGTAGCTGACCTGGTAGGCTCCAAACAACAGGACAGAGCTCCTCAGGTCAGCCTCGTGGCAGATGACAGAGGCTACCAAACCTCCAGCGAGGAAGGACAGGGCTAGCCCAGATCCACCGTGTCTGGCTGAAATACAAGGTGATCCAGGTAGACTTCCATCTCAGCGTGACAGCTGTGACGGTCACGAGGAGCCCTGCTATTGGTCATAATGGGTGAGGAACATGAGTCCTTTGGGGTCACAGCTACCAGCCAACAGGGGACCAAAGCATTCCCTTAACATCCAAGGTCTTAAGCGATAATTCAGCCCCATCAGCTTAGAGGCTCATGGGGAGATATCAGACAGCACCATCATGCATGGAGTCAACCACCGTGATTCACATCACTGCCAATGCCCTGGCTGAAGGGCCAGATCCAGACTAGCTCACCAAACAGGGCATAAGCCCAGCCCCAATGCCATCCATGCCATTGGACCATCAACATGGCTCGGGCACACCCCAACCAGCATCATCTCAAACAGTGCCCTGACATGGGGCTGCTCCTTGCAAGCAATTTGGCTGTAGCCACCCTGTTTGTAGAGGAAACAGGTTAGAGTTATGGTTGTGAATCATCCTTCTTGGATCCAGGGCCAAGGTTTATTATTCTGTGGTGGCATCTCTGCAGCCAGGAGAGGGGATATTGGAGACCTGCAGGGTCTGAAGGAAAAAGGGCAGTGAAGAAGGATGGTTGGGAGGAGGAAGAAGAGGTGAAAGAGAAAAACCCATTACCCTCTTGGGATTCCCCCAAAAGAGTTAACACCCGTCCTCGCCAAGGAGGATGCCACTGGCCACAACTGTGTTTGGGGAGAAATGGTTCTCACAGGTTTATTTAAGTTTGCACTTGTAACACAACTCAGTTGATAATTCCCAAAACTGTCATTGCTTTTTCACTGAAAGTGGGAATTTCCCGTTGTCCGAGGTCCAGCCCTCCTGATCCTCTTTCATGACATGAGCGGTCAACGTGCAGGCACGACAATGGGACCGTCCCCTCTGCTGTATGTTCACACTGGTCCTGACAAGCGAGGCTCTGGTCTTGCTTTGGAAATCTTGGGCTGCGATAGGCATCTGAACCGTGGCAGCACAAATGCATATGAAAGACCAATCAAAAGCTTTGCCACAGAAGATTTTGGCCAGCCTCTTCAGGAAGAAAAGTAGGTGACAGCTCTCATGTTTGTCTTCACAACTGTCTTTCTGGTCACTGGGGGGGTTGTGTTTGTT